AGTAACAAAGTACTTGTACTTCGTTACTTCCCACCACTGGTTATGGCCTGCATTTCCTGCTCTGTTCCACTGTCTGCAGCAGCTGCACTTAGTTTATCATCTCTTCCCACCTAGTCAGCTCACTCAAGGGACTGTGAGAGAAAAAGTTTGATGAGAAGTAGAAATGCAAATAGAGACTCACCAAAGGAGCATAGCACAGAGTTCTTAACCTTGTATTATTTGCTCTCTTTATCAGCTTTCTGTTTTAGTGAATGGGAAAAATCCCTTGTTTCACCTTCTCAACAGTTATAAACCAGTTATAAACACAGTTCAACTTGACCTCAGAAAGAGCCATTCGGCCTTTAAACACTTACTGGTTAACATGGTTACCCACATTTATCTTGCTGTTTTAACATTAGTTGGTGTGTTGTCAGTGTACTACAACATTTTTTCACAGAGTGATAAAATAAGTTATTCTGCCAAACTGACATTAGTGAATGATATACATCTTAATGACCCATAAGCACTAAATACAGGTGAGTCAATAAATAACGAGAACATTTTTTCAAACATCGGACATTACTTGCAAGCAATATTGAAGCAATTTCTTTAGGATAAGATCATTGGCTATTGATATGTCAAGTCCCTCTAAATAAGACAAATATATACATAGTGAGCAGTAAAGTTGAATAGGGTTTTCCTAAAATGTAAGGTTCAATGACACTGTGCTAAAATTAAAACTTCTGACATCAGATGGTGCAAAGCTGCGTGTGGGAGTTGCACCAATGAGTATCTAACATAACACTGGTTGAAGAAAGATGATCTGTATTAGCTGCAAGTTGTAAATTATTTTTAACCAAATTGTAAATAGTTTAAATAGTTAGAATAAAGTATTCTTGCCTGCCTTCTGAAGATGACATGTGCAGTAGTGTGGCTGCTGACGCAACGTGATGTTGACTGATAATCCCTCTATAGGTTCACCTTATTTCAATAGCCTCAAACACTCACACTCTCTCACTCACCCTCATACAATATATATCTTCCTAAGGACGTTACATTGAATCCCATTTTGTACCATAGGCCTTGTCCTACATTTAACAGTTTTCAGTACCTAAACACAAGTCACACTTTAGCCCTAAACCTAATCCCTAACTCAACAGCACTTTTTCTTATGTGGCCTGGGCTTTGGTCCTCATGAGTATGTGTTGGGGAAAATGGGCCTTACAAAGTGAGAAATGTTAAAACACACACACATTCTCTCTACCCATTCAGATATGTTTCTTTATGCAGTAAATATATTTTCCTCAAAGCTTGTACACAAACACCAACTAAACCCACCTGTTAAGAAAACATTGAAAATAATAAATTATGCATGAGGCTATATGGTGTAATGCTTTACAGCCTCTTCAAACTATTACAATATTTTTGTAAATTGTAATAGTTGTAAATTGCAATGCCATTTTTTTGTTTCAGGGTGTCAAAGTCTATAAAGATATTTTTTGAAAAGATACATGTCTCTAGTTAATATTTTGGTATGATAGCCCTTCCAAAATGGCAGCTGAGTCATAGTTATCATCTCATGAAGTAAACAACCCCTTTGGAAAAATTCTGTTTTTTTGAGACTGGTGTATGTCTGGTTTAGGCTCATGGTATGAGCATTTGTCAAAAGCCTATAATACAGTGTTTGGTATCATCTTAAAGGGGACACTCTTGGCTTTCATTTAAAACAGGTTTCAAGTTTCTCTCATCAACACAGAGGTCATTAGAGGTTGTTAAACCAAATATAATACACATTTTTCCCACACCTTTTGACCAAACTAGATACATTTCTTTTATCCCAGTGGTATCCAGAGACCTCAGGGACACAAGAGTTAACAACTAAAATACTCAACAGGCTCTAGGAGTCTCCCTATCTATATAGCCAGCAAGCTGGTAGAAATTTATGTCCTCACATCTAATAGTCTAATAGCTTATTATCTTGCTATAAATGTGTCCATCTATTAGACTGTATGTGAGGACCCCAAACACCACTGGCATGCAAGCTACCCGACTGTTCCTGATGTGCAAACAGGCTGAAGAACTCAGAAATGTGCAAGCTCTAATGTTGCACCAAGACTGCTTTGCTAATAAGACTGCATGCTGGTAAGGTAGTTTAGCCAATGAATTTAGGTGTGTATAACAAGGGACACATCTAAAGGTTGCAGGACTCTGGCTCTTGAGGAATGGAGTTTGACACCACTGCCTTAGTCTGTTGAGTAGTGCAGTTGTAAACTTCCTCTCAGGTACAGCTGGGTTAAAAGAAATTTGGTAGTAAATGAATAGCAGACAAACAAAGGCTGTTCAATGCTGCTGGTGACCTGAAAAGCTTAATGGTTACATCTTACTGATTTTATTTTTTATTGAACTAATTTGTGGGCTGGATTGAAATCAACATCCTCAGCAAGCATAATGTAGATATAGCAAGTCAATGTAATCGGTAATATAATGGTACCATCGGTACCATTATATTACATTTCTATTGGCAGAAATGTAATTTAATAATCTGAATTATGCTGCCAATAGTAGCCTAAGCATCTGAAAATATATATTTTTTTTATTTTTACCTCAGAATTGGTCATTTAATGAGGGTGTTCTCCTCCCACAGAGTCTGTCATTCTGCTGTGTCTCTATGTGGCCATCCTGGGCTACTATTGTGTAGCCCATGATGGAAAAACTCACAAAATCTGATAAATAGGCCAAATGTACAGCATCCTAAAGTCTATGCAAGTGTACATTTCTGCTATTACTGATTAACTATTTTATAACTAACAAACTAGACACGAGTAACACTCTAAACAAAGCCCCCACTAACACACCAAAGAACCAGTTAAGGTTATAGCCCAAGTCTGTAACTTCAAATTACAGCTCATAATCGCCTCCCATAGACAGACTTTATAGGCATATCATACATTTTCTGACTCCTTAGAGCCTGTTGAGTATTTTAGTTAACTCTTGTGTCCCTGAGGTCTCTGGATACCACTGGGATGAAAGAAATGTATCTAGTTTGGTCAAAAGGTGTGGGAAAAATGTGTATTATATTTGGTTTAACGACGTCTAATGACCTCTTTGTTGATCAGAGACACTTGAAACCTGGTTTAAATGAAAGCCAAGAGTGTCCCCTTTAAGATGATACCAAACACTGTATTATAGGCTTTTGACAAATGCTCATACCATGAGCCTAAACCAGACATACACGAATCTCAAAAAAACAGAACTGAGCTGATAACTATGACTCAGCTGCCATTTTGGAAGGGATATCATACTAAAATATTAACTAGATATGTATCTTTAAAAAAATATCAATAGGCTTTGGCACCCTGAAATGGACAAAAATGTCAAATTTTGACCTCTGGCCCATGGACTAAAATGTGTATCTTTCCAGATGCAACAAAGATGCAAAATTGTTTAGTTGTAAGTTATGCTACTTATACAACTGGAAAAATTGTATAATGGTGCAAGTAACAAGTATTCATCTCTCACGTGACTTCCATTGAGATTACACTTTGCAACAGCTTCTTTATTTCAAGAACAGAGGCAGCAAATATTTTACCAGTAAAAGTTGCATAACCTGATGGACATAACAATTGTTTGTCCAATAAAACATAAGAATAGGTAACTAGAATAAGAACTACTATCAGTTTCCATCAACCTACACACTGTCCACTCTGTGCATTCGCGTTAGCATGAATTATCAAGACGGCAGGTGCTCTGGTCCGACTCGTACTAGTTGTGGTGCTGCTCCCTCTCTGATTCAGCCTTTCACTCAGCCTTACCCCGTTTTCTGCTCCTTTCATTCAGGATCTGAGCTCATGCCAAAAGCCCTCTCTACCAGAATTGTGGGAGGAATTTGGTGGTTTTTCACTCTCATCATCATCTCTTCCTACACGGCAAACCTGGCGGCTTTCCTCACTGTGGAGAGGATGGAGTCGCCCATTGACTCTGCAGATGACCTAGCCAAGCAAACAAAGATTGAATATGGAGTGGTAGAAGATGGTGCCACAATGATTTTTTTCAAGGTAAGCTATAGCAGGATATTACAAAACCCACTGTATTTTTACAAACAGATTGTTTTAATGCCATATGCTGTTTTGTGTTAAGTAGAAATGTGCAGTCAGTATGTAAGCTACTTGTTTTTTATAACCCCCTTGATGTATATTTGGGTAAAAGTTAATATTTTGAAGGGTATGTTTTATTTTCCTAACAATAAATCTGGATTATGGCTTATTATTTTTTTACCCCATCAGTCAAAATGAAGGAGTGTATATTCAAGACTAATTTTAAGTGACATCACTCAAAAATGAAAGTCATCAAAAAATGAAACAAAATTTAAATGTACAGCATATATGCACGGTCGTGATCAGAGGTAACAATTCCATCTTTTAACAAAAACATGACATCTGAACTCTCCAGACAAGCGAGGGCTAACTCTGTTTGCTAATGTTACTGTGACCTGCAGAGATGAAGGCCATTTAGAAGTGGCAAAGAAATATCCATTTCAAAGTTTTAAAAAAAATCAAAGAGTGGAGGACCTGATGACTGATGCCATCACAAAAATTACAGAAGAGGGAGGCACTGAACCACCACCAGATCTATCTCCTATTGACAAACCAGAGACTCAGCCAGTATTGACAAGCTTTTCTGGAACTGTAATACTGGGAAAAAAATACTGGAAAGTTATTAATACAACAACTTGTAGTGGATTGAGTATGAAGTAAGGGTGGTATTTTTTGCAAATGCTGCAGACATTTTCCTGGGCTTCATGCAGAGCAGATGTGTGAGATTTTCTCAGTGCCCATCAACTTGACAGAATTGCCTGCTTCCGTCAAATTGAAGTGCCTGTTTGTGCCTAATCAAATGACTCAAGGTTTTGATGTTGATCTACAGAATGAATCCGACTTCTGTTACAACATAGACTGAAATTACAAGCTCCACTTGAGGCAATCAGAAGTTGGCTTTGTGCTCTGAACTTGGACAGCAAGAGAAATTGAATGTTTAGAACAGCATTTGGAAATCAATCTGGCAATATTGACATTAATATTTACAAGAAAACAAGACAGAGTGATCTTTCTATATAAATGGTCTCTATAAACTGCAGTCCTCTACATAAAAGGAGAATGTAACCAAAAGGACCAAACACATGAACTTGTGATTCATGAACATTAACTTGTGATTCACCACAAAGAACTACTACCGTGAGTAGTTCTTTGTGGTGTTTTTAAGGGGCTTTTCCACTAACCCGGCTCTAACCAGTTCGGATGTGGTCTGCTCCAGCCAGATTTGTTTTCCATGAGTAAATTCGACACGGCTCAGCCCGGTTGTTCTCAGATTTTAGTGCCTACTTCAGGGGTAGTACTAGCAGGACTGAGCCAGGTACGACACCGAAACAATTTGATTGACAGCTGACCACATTCATTGATTGGCTTGTGATTTACGTCACTGAAAATTGCAAACATCATAGCTTAGCTGTGGACCATGAACATGCCATCTGTTTTCAGACGGATGTTCAGTACGGATGAGCTTGATGAGTTTAACTACGATCAGCTCCAGGAACACGTGGTAAATTTAGAATGACTGTGATTTAGTAGCGCTACGAATAAACAATAAAGAACAGAAATAATGAAACTGTGGTCACCTTTCTGACCGAGCTGCAGTTTTTCGCTGACAGTTTGAATTGCCGGGAATGCATAATATTAACTTGTAATGTGAATTTTATTTAATTTTTGGGGATTTAAATAAGTAAATAAAGTTCAGGCATGGCTATGTTTTTTTTTTTTTTTACATCTTTCTACTAGAGATGTGCCGATCAGGTTTTTTCCTCCTGATACCGATACCGATCACCCATGAGGGCCGATCATCGATACCGATCACCGATACCGATCACC